AGGCAGTCTTTTTCTTTATTATGTAACCCATCCCGTGAGTGGTGATTGAAAGGGTTAGAGAGGCATATAATCGGTCTGAAAGCTAATATAACCTCGTTTTTTCAGGTGACAGGTGTTCACTCACGTATGGGACGTGTTAATCAGTTACATAGTAGAATTTGGTTCTATTTGCCTTTTAGTCCGGAAAAAAAACTAACTACCAAACTTAAATATCCCTAGGCCTAGTATAGCACATATATGTACTATATTAGGCCTCAGCGTGTATTAAGCCTTGTATTAAGAGGGAGCCGGTCGGCCGAGCGGACAGCACACTGGACTTGTGATCCTGTGGTCCTGGGTTCGATCCCAGGCGCCGGCGAGAAACAATGGGCAGAGTTTCTTTCACCCTATGCTCCTGTTACCTAGCAGTAAAATAGGTACCTGGGTGTTAGTCAGCTGTCACGGGCTGCTTCCTGGGGGTGGAGGCCTGGTCGAGGACCGGGCCGCGGGGACACTAAAAAGCCCCGAAATCATCTCAAGATAACCTCAAGAAGCCAAGGATGGTTAGGTTAGGATTCATTAGCAACATAAATACAAACCATGTAACGGGTTGTCCAAATTCAGTAGTACTATATTTTTTTTTTTTTTTTTTTTTTGTTTTTGAGATATATACAAGAGTTGTTACATTCTTGTAGAGCCACTAGTACGCGTAGCGTTTCGGGCAAGTCCTTAATCCTATGGTCCCTGGAATACGATCCCCTGCCGCGAAGAATCGTTTTATCATCCAAGTACACATTTTACTGTTGAGTTAAACAGAGGCTACAGTTAAGGAATTGCGCCCAGTAAATCCTCCCCGGCCAGGATACGAACCCATGACATAGCGCTCGCGGAACGCCAGGCGAGTGTCTTACCACCACACCACGGAGACTGTATTCTACACTCTAGTTGTCCACTACGTCAATATATGTACGATGATCCACATTGGTGGTGTAAGTACTATGTAAACAGGCGGGTGGACAGAACAAGAGAGTAATGGCAGGAATATGGAGAAGATGTAGGCATGCAAACACGCTGTAAGACCTCTTAAATTACTGGGACCGCCTTAAAGCACTCGAAATGTAATCTTTGGATCGTAGACAAGAGATGTATCATATGTTACAATATATCAGTAGTGTAGTGGAGAACTTTCGGGGAGCAGAATAACCCTGGAAACTCTCTCCGGGTATGTTCCAGGTAAGAAGTGCAGAAATGTACCGTGATTGACCAGTCCAGCAACGAGGAGGCCTTGGCGAGGACCGGACCGCGGGGACTCTAAGCCCCGAAATCATATCAAGGTAACCTCAAGGCAAGAGTAAAGGTACCATGAACATAACCAGAGAACATTATGAGAATCGACATTTCCATATGTTTTTAACCTTCCAGTAAATTTGAAATATTGCTGAAAGTGAGGTTGAAGTTTTCAAATGGGAATTACACATGTTCCTGTAGGAGGCGCCATGCTATTATGGCTAAGTAAGCCTGCGGACCGCAACAGCCTTTTCGATCAAATTATTAAAAGTACATTGATCCCTGTCCGGGCTGCAGGAGTAAAACTCTAGAAATCGGTCACAGGTTCTTCCTCCTGTTTTACCGCAGATTCTCTCTCAACCCCCTCCTTCGTTGTTGTGGTGAGAAGTTGTGTAACTGTTAAACAAGAATGTGCACTGTAATCATTTCTGGGAGTGTGTGTGAGAGCTGACCAAGTGTAGCGGAGATGCGATGTGAAATATGTACTCACCCGGTTATGTTCAGAGTTTGTTCGCCTGGCTGTGTTCTGGGTGTGTTCTGGTCGACCTCGCTCGGTTGATTGATTTTTTGTTCGTTTATTATGCACCCACGACATAGTAAACTTTTCCACAACCGCCCATCTTCTGGGTGGTAGTAGAAAAGTTTACATAGGCTCTGGAATTGGGAAAAAAATTTAATTTAGCCCAGCAAGCAACTAAGCTTGTGGAGTTAGGTACACAATCTCTCTCTAGTCTTTTTATGTCACGAGTGGTTCAAGAAGTGGCCCACAAGTCTGTATAGAGCAGTTTTACATCTGTGGTAAGTAATTAGTTACTAATCGTGTTCCCTACAATCATCCACTAGGCAGCGGGTGTGGAAAATGTAGTCATTGCCACGCACAACCTACAGTAAGCAGCCATTATATAGTTGGCCAAGATTTATGGTATGACCAAAATTTTGAAATAAGTACCTACACAATTCTTGAACATTGGCAATAGCTCTCGGAATTCTGCAATTTTTCCAGTCCAATACACGGTGATGTAATGTGAGACTTAGCATGGGTGTGCTTGCTTTTCCAGTATCTGCTGGAAGCGAAATCTGACTTGTACTTCTCCTCCTAAATATTGGCAACTAATGATTTTAAAACTTTTTTTTTACGTATATTTTCATTGTGATATTTGCTCTTAACGCTGTGGATGGAAATGGCTTCCTGAACACTATCTTTCAATGCATTCCACTTGTCAACAACTTGTACAACTTGAGTGTTTCCTTTAATATCTGACTAATTTTATTTTCTGATAATCACTCGTGTCCTATAGCCCTATTTTCTCAGCTGAAAGTCTTGTCCACTATGTGTATTCTCCATAGTATTTTTTATGTGGTTATCATATCTTTGATCGTTCTTTCTAGGGATGTAAGGTTGAGATTACTTAACCTGACTTCGTAGTTAATTCTTCTTATTTCGGGCGCTAATCTTATGGTTCACTTGAGACTACAGTCAACCATAAATGAAGCAAGGTTGAGGAGATCCTATGATTAATATACTTAAACTTTTTAATAAATGTTTCACAATTCATTCACAAATATGTACGTAGCTGTGCGCCTGCGGCGACTCCTATAACTGGGTTACATCATTTTTTTTAATTAACACATTTAGGTACATCTGCATTTGTGCAGCTACCCTAGACTATTTGAAGGGGAGTACAGCTTGTCAAAAAACTAGCTACGTGATGCTAAAAATCCCCATTACACAGGATGGTTAGTCATACAGAGAGGCTTGCGATAAGTAGTCTGCACTGGCAGACTCTGGGTGCATTATGAGGATATCATGAACACGAATGAATAAGGTAACAGTGATAATGAAAGTCCCCATCTCGTAGGATGGTTAATCATACAGGGCCATACGTTCAGTAGCCTGCATGATCAGTCAAGTAAGGTATATATAGATATTGCAATTACTGTTCAGCAATATTTATTGTCCAGCCGACACGCATACTTTATGGAGTACTACACCCTAAATTCACTAAATCAAACCTTTGTGCAACATGCTGTGATCATGAAGTTATTAGTACTAGATACCTTAACGAGATGTATTATTAATTGCTTATAAACATATTCATGTATTGATCGACGATCACTCATTGGTGAGTGATCGTCGATCAATACACGAACCCTCGCCGTCCAGGATCACCACAAGCGTACAGTACCCTGTACGCTTGTGGTGATCCTGGACGGAGGGTGTTCGAATTATGGTCAAGAGAGTTCGTAATTTTTTTTTTGTGTGGTTGTAAAAGGCATGATGTTCCTGTTATACATAGCACCTAGCGACCACATCCATGATATCTACTATTAATAACCTGGAAGAGGGCTTGGGCAGGTGTGGTTAGGTCGGGAAGGGGTGGTCGGACATAAATGGTAGCTTTGTGGCATTTCCAGCTTCCACTGACCATCCGGTTCCGGCTTTACCTTTAACATCCGGGGATACCGCCCAGCCCTCACTCTCCCCCACCCCTCCAGATCTAGACTCCTGCCTTCTCCCATTGCTAATCAATACCCCTCCCAGTGCTAATCACTCGGATGAATGTGTTCACTGATTGGTAAAGATTGGTATAATTGTCGTAGTTTCATTAGTATCAGGACCTCGAACGCCTGTATGTTCACGGTATTTAAACACTTTGATTTTCGCCAGAGATGTCTAAATGGCAAAGCGATAAAAAATAAGAATTTATTTACACATTTCTAATAAAATATATTAAGGAATATAGAGAAACATTTATGAACCTACGAAACCGTTTTGAGGATATTGGTGTGCTTTCCGGAGTCTGTTGTTAACCGGAAGTATCTTGATGATCAAAACTCGTAGCCACTGCACTATGGATGGAATATACAACCTGAGTACTGGTGTGACCGAGTGTGCACAGGTTTTGTACTCTTGGTTTACTAAATGACAACAAAACTGCAGAAGGCTAACCAACAACCTAACCAGTCTTAGGACTAAATAAGCAATTCTAGGCCTAGCACACGCAATCTTAGGCCCAATTTAATACATATATGCACTGTATTAGGCCTAGGAAAAGGCAAGTTGCGTTCTTTCTCGGGTCCCTCGATACAATAGTACTAAATGTGGATTTTTTTCGGTGCATGTCCATATTTTATACATGCCACCCTTGGTATCTATAGCTACTGCCATTATTTTTATCGTTTATTTCCAGTAACAGAGAACCGGGCCATCTGGCATCCCTGCAGGTGACATCACGATGTTCCTCTGGCGTATTTTGGTGCCATTTTCTTTCTGGCTAGTAACCTACAGTATTGTCTCGCACACAAACTGCTACTTGTATCCCTCTCTGGCGGTGCTACAGTCTTTGCGTCTTTTGATAATTCTATAGCTGAATCTAAAACCAGAGCCGGGATAAAATTGTCATGTGACGTCACACACCGTGTTCGTATCACATGTAAAAAAACTTATCATTTATTTAGGTAAAGATGGGTTGGGTCAGAGTAGGTTTGCTTTAAAAGTAGCGATGACGTGAGATGGTGATAACTTGCTTGGTTTCTGTTCGAGACTTAGATTTACACGCAATTGTTATTTTCTCAATTTTATTTTTAATTTTCGAAGGTAGGTTAGATTATGATCATCATTAACCAGTGAAGAAAACCCGCCTGAAAATTGTTTTTATACCACAATACCAACTGCATTTTAACAATGTACTGTATTTAACTTGATAAATTAATTATTGAATTTGTTTTTCCAGTCGTGATGGATCAGGCTGGACAGCAGCAACAGCAAGTAAGTTGTGCCAACGCAGATTAATGCCAACACAGTTCCCTACCGTTTTTAATATTTATAAATATATAAACAAATTCAGACGTGCCTTTTAAAGGATTGTCTCGGCACAAGGTCACACATGGTCACCTTTCATGTCCTCATTGAAAATGAAGTGGAAATAAAAACAAAAAAATGTAAAGTATTGTATCTTCAGGTGTAGTGAAGACCTCGGTATGTAGCGAGTCTTATTTTTAACTGAAGATGCTGAGCCACATTCAATTTAGTGTGTTAATGAGAGACTGCACACACACAACTATGTCATGTGAACGTGTCTGGTAGCATGGCTCTTATACAGTGCCTGTATTGCAAGTCTTGTGTTCTCTAAACATGAGTAGATTGCATCATTCAGCCTGCTCTCATTGTATTAATATAAAAACATAGTAAAAGACATTAGAATAACTAACATTTTATAAATATAGAAATTAAGTTTAGATTTAGTTTTTTAAATGTGCTTAGGCAAATCTCATTACCCCGAATTAACATAATTTAATACTGTACTATATTGGTCACGGGCCACCTATACAGATGTCTAATTTGTACGTTGCCTTACATTCAGGGTGTCCCAAAATTCTAAAACGAAATATAGGTCTAATTAGCTTGCATTATTTTACTTCATATTCAGTGCTAAGTCTACCATTGATTTGATACACAAATGCAGATGAGGTATCCAGTTAGTAATCACACGGTGACTAGTTATGCGGTGGGTGTTCACACACTCTAGGTGACTGGACCACGACATGGTATAAGTATGTGTTCAGTAGAACTCCAGGTTGCAATCCTTATACCATGTCGTTGTCTAGAGCATGTGTGTGGGAGTACCCACCGCATAGGTTTGAACCCTCATCACAGCTCCTACGGATTTCCTCATTGATGCTGTCATGTTCTTGTGATTACTGTGTACAGTATATTACTACTGCACAGCTACTTGACTGTTCGACTAAATGGACAATAATTATATATATAATAAAAAGCTGAACTATGAACATGGAGGAATAAATTTATATAATCCTACATAGTTATGATCTAGTGAAATCACTGGGTCATAAGACCGTGAAAATTGCAGGAGTTCACTGTAGATGTCAATATTTCTTAGTGTGGCACTGGGACTAACCCTGATTGGCCTCTGACACTCCCATACTTTTCAACTTGGTAAGCTGGGTGAGCCTACCTCCAAACATTTATTTTCCAATCTCCTACTTGTCTGATTTGATGCTTTTTGAAGAGTGAAAATTTATAATTAGTCAAGGAGGCAATAAAAAGGTGGTGGTGCATGAGCCTACTCTTATTGTGTCATCGAGACATTATTTCTTCATACACTGCAGTATTTTGGCAATTTATTAGTGCTTGCCTATCAGTGACTATGGGGAGTGAGATCTAGCTCTTTATAACCTGCTTCCTGGCCATTTATACCTCTAACATTAGGAAAAAAATATGAAAACTAAAGTTGTTGATGAAATTGGCTTTCTTTTCCTAGAATGCATTACACTTGCTGACCTCTCCTACAAGGTACGAGAATGTCTTTACATCTCTGACTATTGAGTGATCAACTTCCATCGATGTCCCTTTATTCTAGCTCCTTTTAATTTAAGTAGTCTTGCTTTCTCAATATTTTTCTATGCCCTTATGACCACTACATATGGAATCCTATCACCTTTAGAAAAAATAGTTACAAGGACGAGATCCCACATAGCTGAGCCCTTTGAATTCTGGTACAGTACTAATCTAGCTGCAAACCTATAAACTGTTAGGCTCACACAACACTTGTGAAGTTGGTCATACACTTGACAGTGTCTGGGTTAGGCTGCAGCTCAGCAGCTCCTATGGATGAGTCGCCACTGAAAAAAAATGGGAAAGCCAATTTTTATGACTTCTGATTTCTCATAAATTGGGCGATTATTAGCATCTCATCTTAGAGCTGTACTGTATATACACCATGTACATTATTTACTTTCAGCAGGGTGGTGGTGGAGGAGGCCAAATCTCGCGTACTGCTGGCCTTCCACTTTCTGACTTCTTGATGCAGCTTGAGGACTATAACCCAACGGTGAGAAAGTACCTCTCGTCCTCATTTGTGTTGCTCGGAAACCAATTTCTTTATGCAATATTTGTTTTTAAGGCCATTTTATAGTATAAATCATTAGGTACAGTTTGAGCTACAGTATTTGAAAGGAATCGGTCTACAGGTATTAAGTATATTTTTTGTCACTCAAATGTGGAAAACAAAAATTGGCAATTTTTAGTTAGTTGCCAACTAGTATTTTGTTTTCCTATGAAACATTACACACAATCATATTAAGTCATTGGAAAGTATATACAAAGTATATAAATTTTATAATTAAAATTGATGTTGAGAAATTGATGCAGTTTTGGTGGGAAAATCAAACCTCAGAGTGTACTCAAAGTAGTTCCCCCTTTTTCTGATAGTTTTTATGAAAAGAAATATTTAAAAACATAATTGTTTTTTTTTAACAAAAGAATTATTGCATAATGTGTTTTTATTATTAGGAAATGTATGATGGATGCACTTTTATTTTCATGTGCTTTTCTTCACTTTAGATACCAAACTGTGTTCTTCTGATCATAGGCTTGATGCAAATCATTTTTATAATTATAACTGCTATATATTTACTTTGTGTTGAATACCATGGTTTTATTTTTTAAATTATGTAGGCTGTAAATGATATTGTAGCAATGAATACATAATGTTGCCTAATTAAACAAAAATACCTCAGTCATTGGTTACCAAGGGAATAATTATTTTGTACTTGCCTAAAGCTAGAATTGGTTGCTACCTCAGGTGTGGTACAGTTGAATGCACATAATGCTAGTGTTGACTTATTACAGAATTAAGTTTCAATGATCAAAAAATTTAGACAAAAAATAAAAAAAAATCACAAAGGCTCGTAATATAATTAAGAATGTATACAAAATACCACACATTACCAATTTAATTTCCTAAATAAATATTTAAATTTTTTAAAATAAAGTTTTTTAATTTTTGTAAATTAAATTATTCATCTTTTTGTAACATTTTGCTATAATACAAAATTGGAAATGTTTTAGATACCAGATGCTGTGACCGCTTACTACTTGAATTGTTCCGGTTTTGAAGCTGCTGATGGTAGGCTGTAAGTAATTATTAATATTCTTTCTCACTTTGACATACTGTACTGAAATAAGACAAGTTTACACAATACTGTATTATGGGTTAAATAGTTACATTGAATGTCATTGAATTACCATTAATTAATATACAATTTCTAACTGAGCATTGACAATTTCTTTCAGTGTTCGCCTTATTTCACTAGCTGCTCAAAAATTTATCTCCGATATAACTAATGATGCTCTGCAACACTGCAAGATGCGAGGCTCCCAGCAGTCAAGTAGCAAGACTAAGGGTAAAGACAAGCGCTTCACACTCACCATGGAAGATCTAACACCTGTTCTTGCAGAGTATGGCATCACTGTCAAGAAGCCTCATTACTACATTTAATACAGTAAATTTAATTTCAAGTGAATAGAAATTAGGAAGACAAATTTACCATTAAACTTTCAGACAACTTTAAACACACAATGACCTTAATATTAAATCAAATTTGTTTGTCGGCAAGTATTGTACACTATACTATGTGTAATCTGTAAGAGGTGGTGTGTGATTAGCATAGGTTTTCAAATCAATAAAATTTTAGTTAAATTCTCAGATTTTGGTTTGAACCACATGTGGATTTTGTAGTGAAATTTTTATTAATCTTTCAGTAAAATTGAATATGTATTTTAGGATGATTATTGTGCTTAATAAAAATAAAGTTGAACTGTACATGTATTTATAATTTATATACAAATTACTTGATTCATAAATAATTCAAGATTGCCCAAGTATTCGACACATACTTTTATTCCTTTTTCTTTTCCATTCTTTTCTGTAGTTGCAGCCATAAGTGTTGATAGGGATTTTCTCTTTGGGAGGATGACCGAGGTATGCCACACAGGTGTCGTAGCCGAGGGTGCATTAGTGCCAAGGTCTGTGCCAACCCACATGCACTCGAAGTAACCCAGTACATGGCAAGACACTGTGGGGGAGAAAAAATAAGGCACAAGAATGTGCAATATTTGGGATTACTTTCACATTAATAACGTACTATACTGTAATATACATTGCTATTGCTAACACCTGAAGGTGGTTGGGCAAATCATGTCTGGTATGTCTTACAGTGAGGGTGTTACCGCTTGCCTCCTTACCTATGGGATTACCCAGCATACCTTTGATTATCTTCCTATGATTCTGAGGATCAATGTCCCTGCGGACCAGTCTCTGACCAGGCCTCCTGGTTGGTGGTTTGCTCAACTAGGTTGTTGAAATACAGCTGCTCACAGCCTGACTTATATATCACAGCCTAGTTGAACAGGTATCCTTTGAAGGTGGTGTATCAAGTTCACTTTTGAACATAGAGGTCAGCCAGTAATGCCCCTTATGTTCAGAGGGAAAGTGTTGAAAAGTCTTGGCCATTTGATGTCGCCAAGTCTCCCCCAATGTACCTTTTGCCCTTAGCTACAGGTACTCTGAGAGAGAACTCTATCGACATCAGAGGCCCGAGACTGTTCAACACGCTTCCACTACACAGAAGGGGCATAACTGGCCGACCCCTCACAGTGTTCAAGAGAGAACTGGATAAGTACCTCCAAAGGATACCTGATCAACCAGGCTGTAACTCATACGTCAGGCTGCGAGCAGCCGCGTCTAACAGCCTGGTTGATCAGTCCAGCAACCAGGAGGCCTGGTCGATGACCGGGCCGCGGGGACGCTGAGCTCCGAAAGCACCTCAAGGTAGCTGCTCAATCTTGAGAGGCTATCTTGAGATGATTTCAGGGCTTAGTGTCCCGTGACAGCTGACTAACTCCCAGGTACCTATTTACTGCTAGGTAACAGGAGCATCAGGGTGAAAGAAACTCTGCCCATTGTTTTCTCGCCGGCGCCTGGGATCGAACCCAGGACCACAGGATCACGCGTCCACACACACACACAGATGTGTGGAAACAGGCCAACATAGTTCCAATCTAAAAAAGTGGCAGCAGGGAAGACCCCCCTCCCCCAATTATAGACCTGTATCATTGACAAGTGTAATAGTCAAAATATTGGAAAAAATATTAAAAACTAAATGGGTAGAACACCTGGAGAGAAATAATATATCACCACACACAGTAAGGTTTTCGATCTGGAAGATCCTGTGTATAGAATTTACTCAATTTCTATGATAGCCACAGATTTTACAGGAGAAAGATGGTTGGGTTGACTGCATCTATCTGGACCTAAAAAAGGCTTTCGACAGAGTTCCACATAAGAGGTTGTTCTGGAAACTGGAAAATATTGGAAGAGTGACAGGTAAGTTTCTAACATGGATGAAAAATTTTCTGACTGATAGAAAAATGAGGGCAGTGATCAGAGGCAATGTATCGGATTAGAGAAATGTCACAAGTGGAGTACCACAGGGTTCAGTTCTTGCACTGGTGATGTTCATTGTCTACATAAATGATCTACCAGTTGGAATACAGAATTATATGAACATGTTTGCTGATGACGCCAAGATAATAGGAAGGATAAGGAACTTAGATGATTGTCATGCCCTTCAAGAAGACCTGGACAAAATAAGTATATGGAGCACCACTTGGCAAATGGAATTTAATGTGAATAAATGCCATGTTATGGAATGTGGAATAGATGAACATAGACCCCACACAACCTATAAATTGTGAGAAATCCTTAAAGAATTCTGATAAAGAGAGAGATCTAGGGGTGGTTCTAGACAGAAAACTATCACCTGAGGACCACATAAAGAATATTGTGCAAGGAGCCTATGCCATGCTTTCTAACTTCAGAATTGCTTTTACATGGATGGCAAAATATTAAAGAAATTGTTCACAACTTTTGTTAGGCCAAAGCTAGAATATGCAGTGGTTGTGTGGTGCCCATATCTTAACAGCACATCAACAAACTGGAAAAGGTGCAAAGACATGCTACTAAGTGGCTCCCAGAACTGAAGGGCAAGAGCTACGGGAAGAGGATAGAGGCATTAAATATGCCAAAACTAGAAGACAAGAAAAAAAGTGATATGATCACTACATACAAAATAGTGACAGGGAAGATTTCCTTAGACCTGGAACTTCAAGAACAAGAGGTCATAGTTTTAAACTAATTAAACAAAGATGTCGAAGAAATATAAGAAAATTCACTACCAACCGTCTACCAGAGTGGTAGACGAAGTAAGTGAAGGTGGCGGAGGCCAAAACCGTCGGTAGTTTCAAAGTGTTATATGACAGAGTGCTGGGTAGACGGGACACCACGAGTGTAGCTCTCATCCTGTAACTACACTTAGGTAATTACACACACACACACATACATATATATACACAAAAGAATCTGATGTACAGTATTTTGTTGTAAAGTACCAAAATTAAATTCTCCCACTTCAATTCCTTTTGTTGCTTTATTTTCTAGTTGTTATGCATTTCTACTGAAAGTTTATCATTATAATACTTGTAATTGTGAATAGTATCGAACACGAAGAAAGCCTTTGTGTTTATGAACCTAAAGTAAATTGACTATGCTTAATTTTATACAGAACGTATATTGTATGTACATAATATCTACATTTCGCAATATACAAAACATACAGTACTGTATTTTTATTGAAAAATGCAGGGTTATTAAAAGAAAAAAAATCTAAAATCAGTTTCTCCATAGAATTTAAATAAAACCAGTTTTCCTGATAGCCATTATCAATTCATAATATGACAAAATGAAGTCTGGTAGTTTAAAGTTTATCTTATGCTTTCTTAAACAAAATTATTACATAAAACTTACTGATGGAACAGTAGCAGCAATGGGTATGATGGCAACACTTACTGCACGGAATACATGGGTAGCAATTCTTTGCGTTTTTGAAGCTTCCCCAAACCGGTTCAAAACATTTACCTGAAATACCATTTAGCTGTAAACTATAACAAATGAATTATGGCTTTATAAAATTAATATAACAATGTATACATACATGATTGCACCTGCGGGAATGGCAATATTCCATCTATAAATACACTAGGATAAAATCTCTTTGGCATTCAATATTTACAATTTTATGAAAATCTGACTTGAGTAGCTGAAATATAGAGGTACAGTATGTAGAAATTTCATAAAACAAATAAATGTAAACTAGTTATATTTTCATTTAAGCCTCCAGTTTTAGCTTTTATGATTGCACTGTCATAAGTAGAAATTTCAAATTGAATTGAATTTGTTACATACAAGTAAATTCGATATTTTGTACTACAGGGCTTGAGATAAAAAAGAAAAGTGATCTTAGAGGCTTAAAAATATATAATTACATTTAATTTGATTTCACATTGTAACTTTTCAATATAAATATATAATTTCAAGTATTAAGTGGTACCTCAATGATAATGAGATTGATGATTCCCATGGCTATAGGCAAGATAAGAGAACTGTCCACTTCTGTTAAATTTGGTATCCAACCAAAACCTCCAGTGCTTAATTCCAAGAAGAGCACTTGAGCCGCTGAAACAAAATTGTGAGCAATATTAAATTAACAGAACAAGCTGCAAAACTATGCTACATACTGTACTACATAATATACTGTAGGCTTTTAGTTATATACAACCCATCCTCCTCTTTAGATAGTACTTTTTGTAACTGTTTACACCATAGTACAAACATTGACACTAAACAATCAGACAGTAGAACTTGGTACTATTTACTTTATAGTCCAAAAAAATTAAGCTAAAAACAAAAAAAATATTCCTAGACCAAGTATAGCACACACACGAACTATATTAGGCCTCAGATAGCGTTTATGAGGCCTAGGAAGGTTAGGTTAGTTTAGTTTGTCTTTGCAACATATAAGAAATCCTTTCCAATTTGTCCAAATTCAGTAGTACTGATGTTTACTTTCTAACTGTTTGTCAATATATGTACTATAGTCCTCATCATTACTATAAATACTACCAAAACAGGAGGATGGGCTGTTATATAAATAAACCAAAAATTAACATTTTTCATTTCAATGTAGCTTGCTATAAGACTTAAAGCAACTACTTTTAATTCCATATTAAAGCTAGCTAGAAACACATTTTGGTAAGAAAATAATAAGTCTTTAAGTGTAGATGAAAAGCTTCCAAGCAGGCAACACAGTTGCCTGCTAAGTTATCCTTTGGCTAATGTCATGCTATCTCCGGTACATGAGGCAATAGCCAGACCAGGTCTTGGTGAACAGTAAGTCTGAATATTATCTTGTAATATTTTCACTTGCTTCATGCAGGTCGGCGTTCAATCCCCGACCGTCCAAGTGGATGGGCACCATTCCTTTCCCCGTCCCATCCCAAATCCTTATCCTGACCCCTTCCAAGTGCTATATAGTCATAATGGCTTGGCGCTTTCCCCTGATAGTTTCTTTCCTTAATACAGTATGCTGTGGTAGCTGCTCTTCTTATGCTTTGAATTACCTGCATCACGATGTGGCAACATGGACGCCATGTTTCTGAAAGACATGGACATTGCAATCCACAGTGGTATTTGTACCCAAAGTAATATGCTGGTTTTGAATGGATGACAGTTATCTCGAATAATCAAGTTCTTCCAAATCTTGCGAGCCTGAAACAACACGGCTTATTAATTCCCATTTTATAATTCTCATTTTATAATTCTGTCCTGTGTGTGTTGTCACATGCATACTAAACAAATTCTTATATTGGTTTTCTCTATAACATCTAGTTAGAACAGTACATGCATTATAAAACAGATGGTGATTATGAAAACAAAGAATTCTACATTTTTATTGAAAATGCCAAATATCCATAACTATTGTGTATTAATAAATATGATGTGAAATGAGAGCCATGGGTATAAGGAAGATAGAGTAATAACTCTAGATAGAGAAGATACTATAGAGAAGATAGAGAAGAACTCCCAGAACCCCATCAACCAGGTATCAAGCAGGTATCAACCAGTATGTAGCCAAGAGGTGGGAGATGCTATAGTGATAACCTGGCAGCCACAACCCATACTTCTTCCGGGAGACTGAGGTAGTGGAGCACCTGGAAAGCTCAGTCTTCCAGGATATTGTGTGTTTACTCCTGGAATCTTTTACATTCTCTTTTTGGACATAGACAAGAACACAAACTATAGTACCATGTCATCCTATGCAAATGACACTTGAATTTCTAAGAGTAGAAAATATAGAGGACACAGCAACCTCCAAATTTATGTGAATCAGGTCTTTCAATGGGCCACTGAAAACAATGTCATGCAAATTCTATCAAATGACATTTTATTTTGCATCTATACTCTAGCAAATTCATTCCTGAACATTGACACCAAATTTATAATATGTAACTCAAAAACAAGCTGAGGAGACATTAAAGAAAGTATAAACATTTTAGGTGTCGCTGAACAGGACCCCGAGATGTCAAAACATTTATGGTTGGGAACACACTGACGGGATGAAACTAGTGTCAAGACAGTAGTGCTTTCTAGGGGTAGAATATTATTGCACATTAACAACTTCATTTAAAGCTAAGAGACAATTCTAGTAATGTTAAAGGTGAAAAAGTTTTTTACACTCCCTCCATACATAAGGGGCATAACTAGCCAATCTCATGTGTTCAAGAGAGAACTTGGAGAAATACAGTACACATATCTCCAGAGGATACCTGATCAACTGGGCTGATTCATACAACAGACCATGAGAAGTATCACTTAACAGCCTGGAAGACCAGACCACCAACCAGGAAGCCTGGTCAGATTGGACAGTAGGAATACTGATTCCCAGAACCATCACAAGGTAGGCTGCACACAAAATTCAAAACCTGATGTACATCCTCCTCAGGAAAAATGAACACAAAAGAATGAGGATAACAGCAGAGAAAACCTATGATGCAATCTCTTAGAAATACCTGAAGACAGGAAAGACAGTTCAGCAATGCATCACAATGAGAAGTGAACTTGGGAATGTTTCAGCATCTGATATATGCAGTCTACCAGCTCTTTCCTTGCCTGTCTAATCTCTAATTATCTTCTCATAACATTTTAATTAGGCGTGCAAGACAGACTTCTTGCTGAACTTGTGCTGTTTTTGCTGGTCTATTATTTTATTAATATACAATACTGCATTAAATTTTCCCTAATGGGATACAATTGTCAGGAAAACTTTTATGTAGTATAATGTTTCTTGTACCTTTCACTTTTGACTATCTGAACTAAAAAGATATAAAACAATGTTTTCCGTCTGTTTCCAGTGATGTTATATATCTTTGTTAGCAGCTTAATTAGGATTTCTGCCCCTTCTTTTGCCATATCAAGTACACTCAAGAGCTTAATTACTATATACATCACTAAAGGCAGGCCCCCTAGAATGAACGGGTTACACTCAAAAGAACGTGTTCACATAGCTTTTGTTTGAAATGCAGAACAAGATTTCCAACAGGCAAAATGCTATAAATGTGTTCCCAGATTACCAAAAATCATCACCATACCAATATTTTAAGGACACATAATATAAAAAACCCAGTACCTGTACATTATTTACCTTAAATTTAGTTGTCCTACTTGTCAAAGTTGGCTGCTGTTTAGGAGTGAAGAAATCTAGTTACTGGAGGAGGCAGCAAAGGCTGATGTGTGGTAAGAGGGGTGACTTGTCAATGTCACTGGCTGCATTTGATGTGGGAGATGATTGGTGGGTGGTACACACTTGTGGGTCATCATCAGTGTCACTATCTGATGTTGAACTCAAAGGTTTCAGGTCAGATGACTTCTTGAAGATTGTTGAGGCAATTAATAGACTTTTTTATATAATTTTTGATATGTTTAGATGTCTCTCAGCATCATCATCATGCTCTTCAAATATTACCAAGCCCTCATCTATCAACTTTAATACCTCTGCCATTTTCTTGGCTATGGAGTAGTTTTGCTCGGGTGTCTCGGCCTCCAACTCTTCTGGAGTAGCTTCATCTCAATCTTTGTTGCCTCCAACTCCATAACATTCATGTAGTAAATGTTTTCAATCTGTGTTGGTTTTTCACCCCTCTCAGAGTGCTTGATAATGTCTAGCTTTGTCTCATAAGATAATGGGTCTCCTTTTCCTTGGTACTAGTGCATTACTAATAATCTCCCTGTCTGCCATTGTTCATAGTATTTTCTTCAACAAAATCCAAAGAATGCACAGCATGTTTAGCCCTGGGTATGAGAAAACTGCTGACTGAGGCAGCATGAGTCTCCACAAATACATGTCACATTGTAGACATGACGGTTCACCAACGTATTTTAAAATCTACCTAACCTAACTTTATCTCGCCTAAACAAACCTAATCTTAACACAGTGTAATCTAAGCTAATACATCCTAACCTAATGATATATACAGTTTTGACAATTGGGAAAATAAGCTATAGAAAAGTCTTGTGTACAAGCTGACAATACCCCACCTCCTTTAGTGTGCCATGGAGAAATTTTTGTATACTCTATGCCACCATATGGCTGCTGTGTGGGCATTTTAGCGTGCAGCTCATAATACTGGGGATGTTCCACTGGGTTCAGTTAGTGAATTGATGCATGGAGGGAGGACTTGAGAGGGCTGTTCGGATGGACGAGTGTTTGTGTAACACGTTAACATTAGCATAACGGGAACATCCTGTACTTCGTGCTTCAGAAGCATATTGGGTATATTTTGGTGTACCTTCTCCCAGTTTTGACTTTTTGTCTTCATTCAGTTGTAAAGACTTTGTGGAATCTTGGTAGAGTTCCTCACGTGCATCTTAGATTATTTCCAAATTCTTGTTAGTTAAATCACCTATTTTTTATTAGCATTTCCTCCTGATGTGGTTGTGAAATAGTTTAGGCTGCTCCTTTCCTTAACCTTCTATACTTTTTAAACAACTTTTAATTATTAAAATATTTAAATGTATGTATGCATGTGTAATTACCCAAGTGTAGTTAAAGTAAAAAAAAAGTTATACTTGTGATGTTCTATCTTCTTTATAAATGTTAGCAAATTTAGGCTTAAAACTAGTGATAGTTTTGATAACTTTTTCTGAAGGTTATTACTGAAAAATTGTCCAATATTGTTTCAACATCAGTGTTTCTTGATCTTATACCTGTGTGTACTCGCCAAGATGGGACTCACCTTACAGGGACACGCCTAGCATTCTTAGTTTAGTTGCAATGACATGACTCCCATGTTTTCTCTTCATATTTACATACAATTTCCTCTAGTATCCCATACATAGTTATGTCCCTTCCCATCCCTCTATTCCTCCTCTCCAGCGAGATTAGGTCCAGTTCCCTCAGATTTCCTAATAGCTCAGGTCTCTCAGCCCAAGAACAGGCCTTGTTGCATAGCTCTGGACCTTTTCTAGTTTTGTCTGATGCTTTTTCATGTGAGGATTTTATGTTGGGGCTGCATATGCAAGAGTGAGTGAGAGCCTCTGTATGTTGTGTTGTGTGTATGTATGTGTAATTACCTAAGTGTAGTTACAGGATGAGATCTACGCTCGTGGTGTCCCGTCTTCCCAGTACAGTACTCTCTCATGTGATGCTTTGAAACTATTGACGGTTTTGGCCTCCACCACTCTCTCACTTAACTTGTTCCAACTGTCTACCACTCTGTTTGCAAAAGAAAACTTTCTAATATTTTTTTCAGTACCTTTGTTTTCTTAGCTTGAATCTGTGAACTCTTGTTCATGAAGTTGCTGGTGTCAAAGATTTCCTCGTTGTCAATTTAGTCGATTCCTGTTATAATGTGTGCATATGTGTGTGTGTGTTCCCTAATTTATTCTAATATTTCTTTCTCTCTGGCCACTTGTGCATGGGTAGTTGCATATTCTCCTTGAGTTTTCCTATATCCTGTGTAACCTCCTCCATATTTTCTAACAAAAGTATTTTTTTCCTGTTAAATTTTCTTCCCTAACTTATCGTATTTAATAACATCTAGATTTGACTTTACTTCAAGAGCTATTTATAAGCCTTTATTTTTATCCTCAAGGACTTTTCCTTTAGTCTTCCAGAGTTTCTTATCCTTGCATAATTCCTTTATTTGGCCTTTCAGAGCTGTAATCTTTTTTCTCAAGTTTCCATTACTGCTACTGAAATTTTTTGCTTTATTCACATCTTACTTACTATAGAATATTCTTTATTTTGTGAACCTGTTGTAAAAACCACTCTTGTTTACATTTTCCTTATCAAAGCCACCAAAATCAAATTCTTCTATGTTCACCTTCCTCATGCCGGAAGTCATCTTCATTTTCGTCTTCATTTTTCTCTGCTGTTTCTTTCTTTTAATCTTTTCTGGTTTCTGTCTGTTTGCCAGATATTCATTTACTATCATGTACTTTTTTACTGTGATATTGCTTGTTTATCCTCCTAAATTTATACTGTACAACACTAGAGCTTCCCGTCCCTGAACCCTTCCACAACACCTTATTACAACAAATTCTATAATAAAAACCATTCAAATGATTAAAACTTGATTAACTTTTTCTCTATTTTTATATCTCTGACTTTTCCAAAAAATGAAATGAGGATTAGAGATGACCAATGGAGAGTTCCCAGTGCTATATTAAATGTTTACCAAAACTCTGGTGACATTTTCATTACCCATTAACCTTCCGAGATAAGTGAAATTTTAATTCAATTACAAATTTAGTTGTATTTGATTATTTCATCACTATATATTTAAAAGCTTAAGAAATTGTCTACACAGTATCATCTTTACAATTTAGGAATAGTGTACTTTAAATATATAGTGTATTGTATTTTTGCTACACACACATACACACCCACTCTTTTTATTTCACATTTGAAATAAAGTTCATGATAAAGATCCAATTCTCACAATTTGACATTCATTAATCTCTCTTCTGTCCTTGCACCACTTATACACAGTAGTATTATTGTATATTCATTGATCCTGGAACACTGAACTCATTATTTTCCACCCATAATATTACACAAAAGTAATGCACAGCTTCACATAGCCCTCTTCCTTGAAATCCAGTTTACAGCAAATGAAATGTGAAAGTAAGTCATGGCATATTACAGTATAAGAGTGATAAAAAAGACATGAAGTGCATGAATAGTAAGGAAGAATGTGTACTCTCAAAATGATGTACACCTTTAAAAAAAATAAAAATTACCGAAAGGTTGAACATGAGACGGGCTTCTCTCTCACTCCAGCCAAACTTCTTAATAGCGTAGGCTGTCTCTTTCTTCAATTCCTTTACCAACTCATTCATTTCTGGCTTAAGGTTGTCCAACTTTGCTATGATGTAATTCTGATGAAAAAGGCCTTGATCAATAATAATGAACATACTATAATCATGTTTAGTTACAAATATTGGCCTATTAATGAATATCCATATTTTATAAAAATACAAAGAACAATCTTCATTGCTTCTAGTACACCAGTGTTAATATTTTCAATTGAAAAATTGGTATATATCAATATGTAAAACAAATAACTTTTAAGAAAATGTGTACACTCAGAATGATGCAAAATGGTGCGTGTGGATCATACCTGATAAACAGTCACAGGAAGGGTAAGAATTCCTCTCATCAAGATGGTTGACACAATGATGGCAGCCCACCATGGTAGATGCAGTTGGTCATGAATTCCTTGCAAACCTGTCATCAACCCTTCTACAAGCCTTGACTGTGATAATGCTTGGAACCAGCTTGCCTGAGTAATGGCTAAACTATCCAGCCAAGCTAAAGAAAGATGCCTCTTAATAACTACATTTATCTGAGGATGGTGTAAAGAGGTTTCAGGAAAACAGTTTTGCTTTACTCTATAACAAGAATTCCTGTTGCCAGAGAATATGTGGTAACGACAGATTTGAGTAAGTGATGGGTTACATCTTGGTAGAACGTCTTCCTCCAAAAAATGTATACGTGTGGCGCAGGAATAAAATGGAGAGATCAGAATCAATTTTCTGTGAGCAGAGCCTTGATAACTGTGGATACTACTTTTCACTGCTGCACCGGGATATTTTAACCTGCATTGAATTACTGGTCTAATTTCAAAATGAAGTCTTCTTTTGCACAAAACATTAATGTAGGAACAAGAAGACTCTTGGAGCCACTTTTTAGGCAAACCAAAGCATCCAATTTTAAGAGGCATTGCTTCGAACCCGCTTGACCTGAAAGACAAATAATAACTATTTACAATGCATCATAACCTGTGCATATACTTGGTGCAAACAGACTAAATAACATAGGCTACAGAGCAGCAATATAGTCATTACAGTAATTACTTTACAAATTCTAGCAACTGCCAATCTAGGTAAAAAATCAGAGAAGTAAAAATTATTCATTCCAAGACATATTTAAGTAATTTCTTTATTCCTTACTTTCTATTCCATATTTAAAGCAAAAGAAGATATACAAAATAAAATATTCATCAACTTTTCAGTACATTGGATTTAGGATGTACTGTACTGAACTGTGCTGTACATCAGTTAGACTCCAAATATAAATACAGCCCGGTAATGTATTCATAAACTGTACCCAGAAATACTGTTACAGTAAGTTGTTAAATCTTGTAATCCACAAAATGCTGTTATCATTTGTTGATCTCTTGGGCTGCTGCAGTTTTGTCATTTGCCAATTTTTTCATTATTGCCAGGTTTTTATACCAAACGTACATTCGGCTGTATGGTTCTCTATATGATGATTTAGAATAATGGATAAAAAACTAAATTCTAATAATTCCACATATAACTTGATTACTGTAACATGTGTCATGGTTTCCCACTGCTGGGAACAGGATATCTGTTAGTTAGGCTTACTGAGGTCCCCCTAGGGCCTAAGCAAATGACTAACCTACCCCATGATGCAACTCACAACAGTTAACTCCCAGGTACTTGTATACTACTAATTGAAGAGAGGCATCAGGAGTAAGGAAACAAGCATGAATGTTTCATACCACCAGGAAATCAAATTTGGGATCATCGTCTTGGAATTAAGAAACAAGAGAGAACATTCAGGGAAAAGATTTTCCCTGAATGTTCTCGTATTTTCTTTTCCAAGGCTATCAGTCCTTACACTCTTACCAGAGGTGGTACATACATACACACACACATACACAATTACAGTGACATGACATGTGTTTATATAACACGTTTTTGAAAATGCAGTTTCTTGGAGAGTCCCTTAGTAGCTCCCTGAAGCTATCTTGCTAAGATTGTTCTTAACTATTGGGTCATATCAGTTGCAGGAGTTGTGTTTGGCCCACTGGGGGACTAGAACCAGAACCTGCCCCCCCCCCCCCCCCCTCACCTCACAGTGCCACAGGGAGTGATTGAAAATTCACCCTTTCCCCCCAGGATAGCATCCAGCAAGTCAGCGAAGCTATACATACAGCTGCAAGATTTACAGAAAACGAAGCCTCAAAATTGCCAAAAAATTGCACAAATGATTCAAAAGAAGTAATTAATTCACTCAAACCTGTCAGTAATAATAGTCTTAATCCGAGGCTGGCTCCTTGAGTCAGTTCTGGAGCTGATGAGCAACAACCTACAAACGGATGAACCTGGAAGGGATGGTCGGGGGATATCATGGAACCACCGGGGCTCTACCAGAAAGATTTTTTTATATATATACACGAGTTCTTACATTCTTGAATATCCAATAGCACGCATAGCATTTCGGGCAAGTCCTTAATCCTAATTTTCACACACACATCTCCAGGAAGCAGCCTGTAGCAGCTGTTCAACGCCCAGGTATCTATTTACTGCTGGGTGAACAGGGTAATTTTAAATTAAAAACCATTATTAAAAGGCTAGTGATCCAAGTATCAACAGGAGGCACGTACGGTCGCTTACCAAAGGTTACGCTTCAGAGTAGGGCTTTTTTTCTGTGCTGGGCGCAGTATTGTTATCGAACTTAAGAGGAGTTAAGAGCCTGTATTACTAGATAATATCCATGTTGTTGGATATATCTAACTGTTGATATGTTTCGATATCGTCGGCGCAGTCAGCTGCGGCCCGGGGTGTTGTTGTTGTTGTGGTGGGTTAGGGGCAGCTACAACACAACTGGGAGCTAAAACCTAAGCTTCCTAAACCTAAAGCTAAGACTGCCCGAAACGCTTTGCGTAATAGTGGCTTTAGGCATTGTATGTACTAGCTCTATCTATAAATTCATCAATATTTGTATCACCCCTTGTATGTATGTACTTTACCCTAAATAAACATTTGATTTGAACCTATATCGGTGTGAAAATGTTGACGTCATAGTGACGTCACACACCTTGAGCACATGCCATGAGTCCCATGGGATGTGTAAGGCGCCCAAGCCTATGAGCGCATACTGCACAGCCTACACACGCCTATGTGTGGCCTGCGTCAGGAAGTGGAATATAAGTACGTCCGTTCAGGAGAATGGGAAGTCTGAAGCGAAAGTTTCGAATGTGAAGCAGATATAGCAGTCAATGTACATTTAATAATTATATATACATGCTCATTTTGGTATTCATGTGTGTTTTTAGAAGGGTAGTGTGTGGGTGCAATATATAAAACGTCTTCTGCATTTAGTAAGAAATTGTTTAGTGTATACTGTATTTAAAATTTGTTTTATTACTAGCTGCAACATTTTAATTTTTTAGGTTTAGTTTTATAAATGGTTACTAATTTCAGTATTAACGTCTCTCGTAGTGTTAGTATTACACCTTAAAAAAAAGAACTTGACTGCCTAAACAGAGGAAATCTGTTTCATGGTAATTGTTAGTTACTGACTTTGCTCATTCTGTTATTACTTGAATGAAATATGCATGTATAGAATCGAATAACAGACCATTCACTTATTTCATTGAAAAGTACGACAACCACTATTAAACAATTTAAAGGAGCCGTACTTCTGTTAGCATTATGCACTTCAGTTATTGTTATGTTCAAGTAAATTATATATAAATCCTCCAAGTAACTTATTTTCACTGCATGCCAAGTTGTGGACCATTCACCCTAGCTGTGATGCTAGATTTTGTAGAGCTAATGCCAAACATATAATGATCTCCACCTGCGAGCTATTTCCTGTCTAAATGTCTTCCTTTATCTTAATCATGATAGTGATTCACTTGTAATACAGTGATAGGAATGTACAATGTATTAATATCTGACAATATTGATTCACTCTCGTAATTTGTAATACTCGCCTCATTTTACCCAACCACTTGGGCTGGACGGTAGAGCGATAGTCTGGCTTCAGGCAGGTCGGCGTTCAATCCCCGACCGTCCAAGTGGTTGGGCACCATTCCTCTCCCCCCGTCCCATCCCTAATCTTCATCCTGACCCCTTCCCAGTGCTATATAGTCGTAATGGCTTGGCGCTTTCCGGAGTTACAGCCCCGCTCCTGTGCCAGGTAAGTCCACTACGGGCTCATCATAGAACAAAAGTTCCAAAGTAGCACAGGCTAAGTAGCTGAATCTAAAAACAACATGGTGTTTTCCCCTGATAGTTCCCTTCTCATTTTACCCCTGGACAAAAATACACGACATATATACTGACTTTTATTCTATTATATATATTATATTTTATATATAATATATATATATATTATATATATTTATTATATTGCATGTAAACGTCTTCACAACACACTATAATAAGAAAATAAACCTGAGTTTACTTTATAATTAGCAGAAGTGAAGTGGTTATTACAGTATTTGTACAATCATATATAATGCAAACGTTATATTGTTCCAAAATAATAAATTACAATGTTTCCTACAACTTAATTTCTATTATTGTTACATAGACCTTGGTAATCACAGCCAGGACGCTGATAGTACTGCTAATATGATTGTCATAACTCAATCATCTTTGTACACAGAAAATAATATCCACATGGAATCCTTCCACTGACATTGCCTAAGAAGACTAACATTTTCTTAGTACATTCTCCTCCTCGATTATTTGTAAGAGATTAGTGCTTGGTTTAACATAGTAATGACTGAGACTGAACTTCTATACATGAAGCCGAATACAGGAATTTATATGAGGGGCTCATATAAATATGACGTATGAAATTGATCTAAAAATTCATCATCATGTTGACAGTGGTGCGGAAAGCTGTATATCTGTCTGCCATACAGCTTCTTTGGCACACTCAAACTTGTGCATGCACGCACATTCAAACATGTGAGCGAGAGGCGGGACCAAAGAGCCCAAGCTCAACCCCCCGCAAGCACAACTATAGGTGAGTACGCACACTCAAATGAGTACACAAGTACGGTAATGATCAAAATCAAGTGTTACGAAGGAACAAGTACACACACACAAATGGAACACTTGCATTTCACTGTGCATAGTAAGTGTATGATACCACCCTTAGGTGAAATGTCAACCTACTGTGTATATTACACAATGTATAACAATGTATTCGTACGGGAGACATCTCTGCAGTCGTACCTCCACAGATCTCCAGTATCAGCTCTTGATGCTGGTAATGGCTCATAAGGGCCACCACTTACGGGCTATTCATGCCCGTGCCACCTTTTGGGTTGCTTAATCTTCATCAATCATATAATGTATTCGTCACAAACATCTTACACAACAACGGTCATGGTACTGGCTAGTCGACTTTGGTCCTCCTACGAAAAAGACGACACACAAATCTAAATTGTATACAAGGTCAAGATAAACAATTGAGAGACTAACGAAGAGAAAATATTTAGTAACTTATGGTATTAATGTCAGGATTAACCAATAGATAATTAATGTGTTCTTTTTTCTTCAAGACAATTTAGTTACAATGTAAAGGTACAGAATTTCAGAGAAGCCATCTGTTAGTTTTATAATTACCATTCAAAGATTTGGACTAATGAGGGCTTGAGTATTGAAGGTGAATGAGATCAAGAACTTCAACTTCCTTAACGGAAGTGTGAACATTTAGTTGTCCGGTATTAGCGCCATCTAGGAAGCGGCAACATAACTAAAACACAATTATTCTTAAATCATAGGATCACAATGATGTTACTTTAATAAACTGTAAATAGACCATTGATGAATATGTTATTAAACACTATAACTAGCTCATCAATGCTATTTTGCGTACTAAATGAATTTTAGGGTTCAGTTCCTGAGCCCATGTGTCTCCATAACCTTTTCCACTACTATGAATAGGTTGATTAAGGCAGTGTCTGGGATGCTCCCGGACGCAGGTTCGAATCCTCGTCACGGCCCTTGTGGATTTGTTCTTATGAATAGGTATGAAGGTAATAAATGAACTAAAATTAAAATCATAAAAGAGAAAGATACACATTTTTTCACAGTATTAAAATATTTTATCTTTGTCTTATAGCTACAGATTGTAATATTAATCTAAATTGCTATAAAAGTATTTTGCACATTCTTAAGATACATACATCAAGAGGCAATTCAGATCAATAAATTTCACAAAAGTTTACATATAATTATACATGTTATGAAAAGAAGTTTAACATACATTTAACTTAAAACAAGGCTCGAGTCCATCTGTAATCATTAAATGACGAAATATTGTAATTGTTCAAGAAAAGCCTAAGTATAACACATTTCATAGACTCGACACACCAGATCTCTTTTCAACGTCATGCTTTTTATTAAAAAAATATCATCCTTACAGTCTGTTGGCATATTTCTGTGGCGTGGAGAAGGGACAATATCATGCATTTCTTCTTTTACTTCATTAAATTCACTTTAATCATACCCTCGGCCATCTTTCTTTTTAATAATCCCAGGTTTGAATATGCGTACAGTATATAATTATTATTCTTGGCGTCTTGTCTGGGATGGTGTAGCCCACTGGGAGTGCACTCTTCTGCTAAAACAACGTGTCCCATTAGAAAGCGTTGAAAAAAAAGTATGAAGTATGGACCCCGCTATCCTCATACACAAACTTCTCACTACACAACGGCCCAGTTTACCGAGAAAAAAATTGGCAATCGACAAGCCAAGAGCCTCTTTCGCATTAAGATAAAACAAGTTTCCCTTTCCATGCCTCCATAAATTGTGCCTGAAACTAGCGAGGGATATATTCCACCATTAGCTGCGTACATGTGATTCTGTAAGAGTATTTTCCAGCCGTTGATTGTCAGGGTTGGTTTTGTCCAAAGGCCATTCAACACAAACTGAGTTGCTTTTCCAACAAGTTCGAGTAAAAGCTGAGTACTTGATACTGGTGTCATGGCATAATAGACAGGCATCCCCAATGCCACACTGAAAGATGAATTTGTGAAAAACGACACTTCTGCGAAAGTATCCAGTTACTAAGAGTATCTTAGGTTAGGCAATCCTCATCAAGTATAAGTGTAGGGCGTGACAGTGATCTCAGGCCGAGTGTTAGAAAACCGCAATGGTGTCTGGTTTTGAATTATTTTGAGAGCCAGCTTGAGCAGTTCGTTGAAGAGAAGAACTATGCCTGGCACGAGGAACAACACGTGGAAAACGAAGCGCATGAGCCAGTACTGGAAGGAGTGGTAGAGGCTCATGCGCTTGGCGAAGGCTGGCACGGCCATACCCAGAGTGTCAGCCAAGAAGCGAAACATGGCAGGGTAGGAGAGGGCAGGGACCATATGGTTCATACCTTCAATGAGGGAGGAGGACATGTGCTCATAGCTCCAGTTAGCATCGGCTATCCTTGGCTTGATCACCAGCTGCTCAATCTCTGTGCAGAGTGTCTGAGTTTCTTTCACCGTTCCACTGCAAAAATTGTACTTATCTTTGATTCCTAAGAGCCATCCGATCCCTCGCCAGAAGTGGACGAGGCCGGCCAGCTCCTCCTCCGAGGCCCACCAGGCACCCATCCTGCAGGGGTGGGCTACTATCATGCCCAAAAACGAGTATTGGGTTATCAGCATATCCCATTGACTGATGTAAACAGGTGGGTTACTAGGAGTCTCAAGTACCAAGCCAGGCATAACCTGAGGCTGTAGGTCTTGGCGGATAGTAGGGTGTAGTGGGCACTTGGGCTCTTCGTGACCCTGGCTTCTCACATCAATGACTCCAACTTTGTCATAGTGAGTAGAAGAATTTAAGATGCGAGCAGAGTTGTTGTGGATGGAACGGACTGTCATGATGTCCTTGTGGGCGCGGTCGTTGGGGTCCCAGGCGTCACCAGAGTACCAGGTTATGATGTGCATTATGGTGGAGACATAACGACGTAGAGCTCGCAGTGACGTGTTGGACCGCTCTGTGTACATCAACGGCCTCAATATTCGGCTAATGCTGAACATCATCAGTAGAGCTAACAGGTCAGAGAAGAAAATGCAGAAAAGATAACGCCGGTAGAATTGCCGACCACGGTCGAAGAGCTGGCGATCCAGCCAGTCTGGCACCTCAGGAAGGTTGCCGGAATCACCAGGTTCATTAAGACCTTCGAGGAGCTCTTTCATGCGGGGTGACACTTTAACCTCGCACTTATTGGTCGACCTTGCACAAGCAACTCTGTGCTGGATCCTGTTGCTCACACTGTCTTTATCGATTTGGTTGTGACTCTTGACAGTGCCGACGCTGCCATTGGAATCAGCATGGTGTGTGACGGAGTTAATGGGAGATAGCAGCGACGACTCGCCCATGACAGGACACTCGAGGATGGCCTCGCTGCTCTCGCCCTCCCCTGAACTCAGCAACGTCATCCTTCCTGCAACAAAAACACACCTCTTAGACACTAATAATCTAACACGAAGTCATAAACATGTTTTGTCTTTGGAATAATGCACCATATCTTTAGGTCCAATGGGATAAAAATATTTTTATAAACAGTCTGAGGTATACACAGCAAAATGTTGCTGCCCTAGTCTATATGGCGGATTAAAGAGTGCCAATCAAAGGCTAGCTATAAGTTCATCTAATATACCCATCTCGCAGGATGGTTAGTCATACAGGGTATCAGGAGAGAACATGAGACGAGTCTGATCTACTAGCCTGCACTAGCAAACTCTGGGTAGAGCACATTATTATTTTATAATATTCGTATCTCTTACCATGGGTCTGAAATCATTGATAACAGGACAATAAATTTTGTTTGTAATCTTTAATGATCTATGATATCGTTAAATGATTCCCCCCCGCCCCCCGTTTAATGACAGGGGGCCTAATGACTGAATGGACAGCGCTTGGGATTCGTAGTTCTAAGGTTCCGGGTTCGATCCCCGGCAGAGGCGGGAAGAAATTAACAGTTTCTTTTCTTTCGCCCTGATGCCCCTGTTCACCTAGCAGTAAATAGGTACCTGGGAGTTAGACAGCTGCTACGGGCTGCTTCCTGGGAGGGGAGTGTAACAAAAAGGAGGCTTGGTCGAAGACTGGGCCGCGAGGACGCTAAGCCCCGAAATCAAGATTACAATTCTAAATTATATTATTCTGCTCTGTATTATCTCATCTATTTCATTAAATTTGTACTTATATTTCTGTTCGATAATATTACCTATTAGTTCTTTTTCTGGTTTTTACCTAATATTTATGTAATACTAATTAAATTGTAAACTACAAAAGAACATCAGCGCATTCACCTCAATATTTTATTTATGTTGCATATTTTTTTTATTAGACTCGTGTTATTATTAAACAAGAGGAAGCCCATCCCCGACACGTTGGCGCGCAGCCACCACCACGTGTCACCAACCCGCGCATCACAAAGGTAAACAAACCCCCACTGACGTCAATGAGGGTCTTCCTAGTGTGTTGCCACAACACATGACTTCAGAATAACTCAAACAGTCATGACATACAGCCAGTTGTTGCTTGCCATGGCTCTTCTGCGTGATCAAGAGTTTACATTTGTTGCATAAGATGACTTTCTGAGGCAAGTGAGTGTGCTATATCATTAATATTATATAAACCAGGTATGATTATATATTATATAATGGTTGAAAACGACAAAGTTTTAGATTTATAATTCTGGCACGAATCTTCATGACATTCCTTATGTTGTTCTTCACTGAAGCAGGACGATGAAAAATTAACTCTCCAAAAGTTAATTTTTAATCTTTATTTGGTTCTGACGCCTAGTGATGCGTTTCGTAAGGTTTCACCTTACATTCTCAAAGATAAATTCTCGGGCCAAAGCAGAAGTTGGACCGAATGATCCTGCAACAGGCACGGAAGCAGCCTGAACAACATAAGCTGCCAATATGTCACACGCTATGTTGATACATTTAATAACTTATTAACATCGCCCATGTAATTTCATTCATCCATATGTCACCTAACCACTTCACCATAAGAGGATATAACGAGGTGCTAAGCACAGTAGAACACACCATTTGGTCACCACTTGGTCCGGGAGACATCTCCCGTCACGCAGGGTGCAGTTGCGCCTCCACAGATCTCCAGTATCATCTTTTGATACTGGTAATGGCTCGAAAGGGCCACCACTTACGGGCTATTCATGCCCGTGCCACCTCTTGGGTGGCTTAATCTTCATCAATCAATCAATCACAGTAGAACAGGGACACAGCACCGCTCCTGTGCCAGATAAGTCTACTACGGGCTCACCATAGTCCGTGCTACTTGGAACTTGTTCCGAGTAGCTGAATCTATAACAACAACACAGTAGAACGGTATAATAATCACGTATGAACGGTTAAATTGCAGGAAAATGTATAAACGGTAAGAGTGAATGCACTGACAGGTATAAGAGAAGCGTCATCAATGCATATATTCACCTAGTTGTGCTTGCGGGGGTTGAGCTCTGCTCTCTTGGCCCACCTCTCAACTATCAATCAACTGTTACTAACTATTATTTTTGTTTTTTTCACACACACCCAGGAAGCAGCCCGTAGCAGTCATATGAGGTTCATATGACTGCTACGGGCAGTCATATGAACCTCAGCATTAAATAGGCCCCCCTATTTAATGCTAGGTAACAGGGCATCAGGGCGAAGGAAACTCTACCCATTTGTTTTTCCGGCGGTGCCAGGGCATATGCAGGTCTTGCAATACGTACATGCTCTTCTTGGCAACTCTTGCACCACGAACTTTAACGAATCCGTCAAATGGTTGTGAACAACGATTACAGCAATACAGAATTCCTGCCCGAAACGCTGCGCGTACTAGTGGCTTTACAAGAATGTAAATACTATGCTATGTATTCTCTCTAACCCAATGTACCTTCTTGTATATAAATAAATAAATTTGACGAAATCGTACTGTCGATATTTAGAACACTACTGTTGGACAGGGAGTCGTGTAGCCTAGGCACTTGCGTTATACGTCTAACATTACGATTTATTGTTACGTTCCTGGATACAACACAAGGCTGACGAAGGCCTAAGGCGCTGATTTTATCGTTGTAACCGACCACTCGGCTTCCTGGGAACCGAATACCATTCTTTACAGTGAATCTATATGCGCAACGCTATTAACTGTTAATGAACTGTTCTAAATGGGGTAAGTTTTACATGCGAGTCGTATCCCGTCCCTTCGACGACACAAGCGGCGCGGGTTAAAGATGCAGTGTCGGTATAACTGGGCCAAGACAAGGAAGATTGGGGCAGGTCAGCGGCACCTTAAGGCTGACGTCCCAACCTTTTCCCAGAAGTGCTCACTTCCCCCGCCCCTTCTCCGCACGCCAACCTCACTATCCGGGGTAAATATGTATACTAATACCCCTCTAACCCCCCCCCCCTTCCCCCGCCCCGACATTTTATCGCCGGTAATAAAATCATGATTAATGCAAAATTCTGCGTCACTGGCACTAATATTGATGATGCAGGAGCAACGTGGCTCTCTTAGGTTCCACCTCAGTTCCGTCCGAGACTGCGAGAGTTCCCAGCCGGCTCCTTAACTACCCTTCATCCTATCAGAAACAGCACTGCGTAACACGGAGCTAGCCTGACCCCTCAAGCAATGCACGCAAAGTTGAGTGCGCATAACGACGCCATAGCAGCACCCGCGAGGGACGCCCAGACGCGCTGAAGGAAGCAGCCGGGACGGGTCGTCAGACTTCGCAAGCAAGGATCATCCCTAACGAGGAAAACTGGTTTATTTATTGACGTAGTTACGAAATGTGCTTCGTCAGCGTAATCCTTCATCCCCCCCGAGGCACTAAGGACGCCAGCTTAGTGCCTCTACCGCAGCCTTTTCTTGAGAAGGATAACTGCGTGTGTTTTTAAAGTGGTTTGAAGATGTGCTGGAGGAGGGCAGTATTGATCCTTAAAAAAGATAACATGATTCAGGCTTCGCTTTAAGTGGCTGAAGGTTAATGAAGGAGGTGCTACTTAAGGTAACTGTCTCTTCTATGACGCATCAAGCACCCATATACAGGACCCCGAGCCATGATGAGGCGTACAGTAGTGTTCATCTGTGAGGCGGCGCCAATTGTCTCCACGTCACAACACAATGATTCCTTCGCTTAACATACAATGAGCCTCCTCCAGCTGCACACCCGCACACAGCTGGCTCGTGAAGGGCCTCGTTAATGGTGTCAACAGGGCTTTGCTAACGTGCTCGTGTCAACAGGGCCTTGCTAACGTGCTCGTGTCAACAGGGCCTTGCTAACGCGCTCGTGTCAACAAGTTCCATGTTGCCATACTGGGAAGGCAGCACAGAGCCCAAGTTGACAACACGTAAGGCACACGGACGCCTCACTGCTCTCGAGCTGGATGAACGCAGCCAGAACAACACAGCACAGTCAGCACAGCAAAGGCACGGAAGAGCCAGCACGGCACAGTATAGACAACACTGCAACACAACACTCCTCCATCAGAGGTGTCGACGCAGCACAGGCGGCCTACCAGCCACATGCTGCGTCTGACAAAGTTCACATTGATACTTCAGAAAGAAACATTTATAATTGTTATTTTATTAGCTAACATTTATTTGGTTCGTCAATAAATCAACAAATTACACCGGCGTTCAGGATACACAACGATTAACCCGGTCTAAACAGGGATTAACCCGGCCTAAATAAGGTTTAATCCTGAGGTAAATAAAGATTAATCCCGAGCTAAATAAGATTTCATATCGTGCTGTTTTAACCCGGACAAAATAAGGTTGAACCATGATCAAGTTCCGCTTGAGTAATTAGCACCTACACCCACACGGACGGACGCAGGTAGGACAGGCCTTGGCTAGGAGGGATGGAATTTTCAGGGGGAGAAGTGCCAAGCCATTGCGACTATATAGCACTTTGAAGGGATCAGGATAAGGATTTGGGGTGGAACGGGGGGTGGGGGGGGGCAGGAATGGTGCCCAGCCACTTGTGGACGGTCGGGTATTGAACGCCGACATGCATGAAGCGAGGCCAAGCATTCACGCAACCCCCCTTTTGAAACCTATACAGTTTACGAGGTTGGAAACTTTGCAACACAAAGTTATCATTGCTATAGACAATCTCTTAAACAGTTTGAGCTCCGATGCATTAAAATGTGTTTAACAAAAATGTACAGGTTTCGTAAATGTTTGATGAATCCTGGCCCTCAGTTGGTGGGCAGAGTACGTCACTGGCACGCATCGATTCAAACAATAAATAAAGCAGCAAGAAAATGAGTAGACGGCAGAAGTTGTTGAGCAGGTCAGGGAGACATGAATTCTTTACATATTGATTCGTGACGAGGCCGCCGTGTGACGTGATAACTGATCTTTGACGTAGCAGGTGATAACCGGAGGCCAGGCTTGTGAGATTTTGCAGAATGGTTGAGG